GAAAGAAAGAAAGAAAGAAAGAAAGAAAGAAAGAAAGAAAGAAAGAAAGAAAGAAAGAAAGAAAGCCCACATATCATCGGGTACAGGAAAGGCCAGCACATCTCCTTAGAAGAAGCAATAGGGCAAATATTAATTCCATGCTTATTCTCCATCACAGCCCCTTTTTCTGAGCTGGTTGCACACTTTGGTACTCTGAGCCTAGGCCTCTTCTTCAAGTCAGCAGAGGGTGGATCCCCATCAAAGCCTGATCAGGTTCTTACTCCTGTGAGTCTGACACAAAATTCGGGGAACCCACAGGGATTGTGTTATGGCTGGGATCTGGAACATGCCCCAAAGGTCTGGCTCCCAATTTGTGTGTGAAAGGCCTGGCTGCCAATGCAGCAGCATTCAGAGATGGGACTTTATGGGGGGTGATTGAATCATGTGGCCCTGACCTCATCATTAGGTGAATGCATTGATGGTCCATAGCTGGTGGATCACTGGGCTGTGACCTAGTTGAAGGGAGTCCTCCCCAGGGATGTGCCTTTGAGGGTTGAAGGTTTTATCTTATCCCTTTCACTTTGTCCCTTCCTCTTCCTCTCCTCCCTGTGCCCCTCACATGGTCCCATCATGATGCTTTGTCACACCATGGGCTCAGAAGCAATAGAGACAAATGACTATGCCTGGAACCTCTGAAACCGTGCCACACACCACACACTACCTGGCATGTAGGTATGCATGCACGACCCTTCCTCTTCTTTGGCTAGGCAGTTGGCTAGTGTGCATCTTAATGCCTCTAGGTTGTACTGCCTCCTCTAACTTTCGGAATTCTCATGGTCTCAGTGTGACCTCTCATCACAGCTCTGTAACTCATTAGCAAAGAGCATCAGTATCCCCCAAGTTTAGGGGTGTAGGGACTTGAATCCTCTCTTTGTGACTAGTTAGTGATGCCAGCAAGAGTTCCTATGGCAGTGTTCTAGAAAAAGTCAAGCTTCAAAAGCTACAACTCTTGTTGCATAGGTCCTGCTTTACCTTGGTCTTAACCATCCAGTAGAAAAGTATGAAGACGAAATATAGGAAGTAAAGCCATGCTGTTATGTTGAGCTGTGGGGGACTCAGGTCAATAATTTCTGACATTGGCAGTTAAACAGAAGACCCAATGCTATTATGGGCTACTGGACTCTTTTAGAATATTTTGCTGAGTTTACACACCTATAATATTCAATAACGGAACTTAGAAAAAAGGGGTATACGGATGAATGTCCATTTTGTATCTGTGTATTTAAAGTGGTTGGAATAGATATATAGTTACATTCTCTTAATGAATAGAATGATTTGTTCTAATGGTATTTGTAAATAGGATCTCAGGTCAACATCTTGTACAGCAATTAACCACTAAGAATATATGCAGTGTGTTGGTTATTGAAACTGTCCTACCGATTTGATTTGAAACTGTCTCATTGCTATCTGTTTATCAATAACATTATGAAAAAAATTTAAAAATTAAAACATTTACTTCTGTTATATAAAAAAAAGAAAAAAGAAAAACTCAAGCTTGATGGTTCTCAAACTAAATTTACATCAGAATCTTAGAGAGCTGACCCAGTGCCTCTGTGTTACAGCAGAGTAGAGTGGTGTGCCCAAGTGGAGCTTGGCTCTGGGCAGTGGAGGCAAATGCTAACTAACCAAGAAGAGCAACCAGGCCTTGTGACTGTCACCACCAAGTCCAGCAGCCTTGCACAGCTCCAGCCTACAGTCTCCATCAGGCAGAGCAGCAGGCTGCCATCACCCCCACCTACCAAGAGGAACGAGGGTGCACCTTGGGTGGAGTGGTAACTACAACCTGAGTCAGGGAACCAAAGAAGGGTTGCTACAGCAAGAGGGCAGCCCTGAGACCCACAGACTCTAAAGCCAGGCATAGAAAATCATGTCCGCCTGGATCCCAGGACTGCGGAGCACAGGAAGAAGCCACTCGCTCACACAGGAATGCTTCTTTTACTCAGATTTTTATTTTTCTTATTTTCTAATTTCGTATTTTTTTTACCTTTTGTTTATAAGATTTTTGCAGGATCTAGAGATTTTCTCCCATTTTTGTTCTCTTTTAATTTCTTTTTTTGCCTTTTATATTTTTCCTTCAAGTTTTTTTCCTCTTTTTTCTTATCTTTCTCCTATCTCCTGTTTTTTGCTGTTTATGTCTTTTCTTTTTCTTTCCAGCAACTGTTCTCTGTCATCATTAATTTTTTTTTATTCCCTAGTAGGCCCCCATCTCACTTTTCTCATATTTCACTGATTAAGTTTTCAATTTTTTTCTTTTCTTATTCTCTAGTCTCCAACCCCCTCCACCTTTACTAGTATAGCTGCTAAGCTTTATGAACCTTTAGAAAAATAGTGAACTTTGTGTTGTTTTGTTGAACATTGTTCACAGAGGTGAAGCTGTTCCATTTAGAAGATAGCTGCTAGGTGTGAGGAGTAGGTAAATATTGAGTTTGTCTCAATGTTCATAACTATGGGTCTCTCTTTATGGACAAGCACAATGCTTTATTGATCCTTTGGCTTCAATATTCAGTTTGTATTTTATAGGAAAAGATGAAAGAAACAAATTGGGGTGTGTCATGTACATGACCAACTCTGAACACACACACCAAGCCAGGGTTGGAGGACCCATCCGCCCATCACTCTTCTGCCCCTTCATCAAGCAGTCACTAAGCCCCCGCTGTGTGTCAGACCCAGGGCCAGCTCACTGCTTACATTGTGGGGTGGGGGGCTGTGTGAGCATGGGCAAGGAACTGTACCTCTCTGAGGCTTAGTTTTTCTAGCTATCAAATGAGGCTGATAATGCTTACCCTGCAGGGCTGTCATGACTGAAGGAGATCAAGCAGGAAACACTTAGCTCAGGACCAAGCGCACAGCCGGCACCTGATAAAATGCAGCTTGCATCATTTTGAAGAGGATGATGCATCTTCTTTCTAAGAAATATGAGGACATGGGTTATTGTCCAGGTGCCCAGGTGGAAATCTGGAGTTTATTCATTGAGTGACAATAAACCAGTCCAGTCTCTTCATTGCTGAGAGACTCAGTTTTGCCGCCATCTGCACAACTGGCAGCAGGAGGGACTGTTTATGGGGCACTGAAGGCCCATGACCTTGCTAAGCTAAGAAATGCCTGCTGTATGAACCACTTCACTGCAGTGAGCAGAGCTTAGCACCGGGAGTTAAGACCGAGTTCCTGTCCTCACAGCCTCCAGCACTGTACACTAGCAAGCCTCCTGCCACCCTTGTGCCTCAGTTTCCTCACCTAGGAAACAAAAGCTTGGTCTTGACTCCAGGCCTTGGAACTTCACCTCAGCTGCAGAGCCCCCTTTCCCCAAGACAAAATGTGATGTGAGACAAGAGCTCAACTAATAAGGCAGCAAAGGCTGCGGGGCTGTGGCTGAAGCCAGGAGGGGTGAGGTGAAGACCGGTGCCTGGCCCCTTTGCTTCTCCACCCCATGGTGCCCGGGCACCCTTCAATGTATCTGATGGCAGGAGGAGAGCAGCGCAGGATTTGGGGCAGTTAGGAGCACTCGTTTCGGAGGTGGCAGCCTGGGTTCAGACACAACCTCACCTCTCTGAACCTCAGTTTTCTTTTCTGTTAATGAACTGATGATGTCCTCAGGTATTCTTTGGAAGGTTCAGAGTACCCTTGTGTGTGAAAGGCCTGAGAACAGTCAGGCAGATGGCAGGTGCCCTACAATAGGACTGCTGCAAATAGCTGTGGAATTCCTATATGGCCACACTGTCACAGCAACTCTGGAGATGGGTGACATTGACTCGTCTCACCAACAAGGAAGCTGAAGCACAGAAAGGGTAGGTAAGATGCCCTGGCTCATGCAGCTCCATGGGGCAGGCTGGGGTGCAAGGTGAGGCAGTCTCAGCAAATGTTAGATGAAGAGGACAGTGGTGGTGGTGAGGCTTTCCAGTAGGTAGAGGGTGTGGTGATGTCACCCACTTCTTACAAGGGACTTGAGCATCTGTGAGGTTTGATATGTGAAGTTTGAGGACCTAGGACCCAGTTTCCTGAGGACATCAATGACAGCTGTTCTGTGTCTGGCCCTGGAGAGACATCATCAAGCAAGACAGCCCCACCCTCAGAGGTGTCTGGCCTAAATGTGCAGTGGATTAAGGGTCCTGAGGGGATTTGGTGAGAAGAGATGCAAGGTAAATGGGTCCCAGATGTCATGCTGCCTGGGTGTTTCCAGTCTGCTGTTTCCAGAGGGCATCACGTCAGGCCGCACATGATTTTATCCCCAAAAGGCAATAGCTGTTATATCACTTGTATCAGTGATTTATATACATATATATCACTGATACAAGTGATATAACAAGTAATAAACAAGTGATATATATATAGTGTATATATATCACTTGTATATTTGCAATGTACTCAACACACCCTCACCCATACACACATACACATATCATACACACACACACACCCATATATGTACACACACACACACACATACATGCACACACATCATCATACATTACCACTACCACACTTTGAGGTCACTTTCACAAAGGCATGAACAGAGGCTTGGGGAGGGTTGGAGGGTGGGTCACCATGCCAGTCACACACTCCATCCACAGAATCAGGGTCACTGTTCCAAACAACCTTCTCTGACCATCCAGGTCAGTCTAGGACAATCACAGAGAGTCAGGGCTATGGGTGCCATCAGACAGAGTTTTTATACAACAGTAAAGCTAATCTCCCTTGAGGCAGGACCACTGTCATGATCCATTGAACATTTAGTGTCTTGGGGGTGTCACCTGCATAGTCCTCTTGACCCTCAGGAACCTGTATGGTGCAGATTCTATTACTGGTCTTATTGTGCTGATAGAGGACATCAGTCAGCCTCTGCCCACTGCTCACTAGCTGGCCGAGGGCCGGATCATCATGCGGGTTGCACGAAGTGAATACATGGGTCCAGCAGAGTGGGGCCAGCGGATGCCATTGATCTTGTACAAGTGCCGGCCAGCTGGGTAGTAGATGCCGTTGAGGTTGGAGGCACCACAGGCATCAAACCACCACCCTGTGGAAGAGGGGGACATGATGAGTGAACTGCCCAGAGAGGTGGTCAGTGTAGAACATAGCCTGCTCAGCCAGGGCCTCTGGAGAGCAGTGGGAGCCTCTGGCCACCTCTCCAGCCCCCCTGTGCTCTGTGTCCCTCCCTCATGATCTCTCAGCCTCTGGCTCCCTCACAACACTGCACAATTCCTGTAGGTATCTTGTGGCCTCTATCCATGAGTCTCTCCCTTCTGGTGGGCTCTGTGTGTGCATCACACTGTATTCAGTTCTCTGGCTGAAGTCATCCCTGCTGACTGTCTCTGGTCTCTGCCACCTTGCAACTCCCAGGTCACTGTCCCAGGTACCCAGGCCTCTCCTAGCCATGTCCAGGCAGGACTTGCTCTCCAGCTCTCCCTCTACCTTCCCTGTCCTGTGCTGTCTGTCTCCACTGCTCTCATTCCTATCAGCCTCTGCCTCTCTCTGCCCCCCTGCCCCATCTCTATGGCTCAGGTGTCTCCGCTCACATTCCTGCTCTGTCTCTGACTCATCACATCTCTGACCTCTGTCCCGGCCCAGGAGCACTTCCCCAGCCAGAGTTGGTGGGGAGCTATCCCCTGGCCATGCCCTGACCTCTGGCTTAGGAGCAGGGGTGGCTTGAAGGAACTGAACCACAGGGCCCAGCAGGAAGATAGCGCCCACTCTAACTCACCTCCAGACATTGTCACTGCACAATTGCAGGAGCATTGGTCATGGTCTGCATCGCGAGTGCTGAAGTTGCCATTATGAAGGATCAGATGGCCCTGGAGTGATGCCACACCACTGTGCTTGTCCAGAAAAATCCTGCAGATGCCCAGGACATAGTGGTAGGAGAAGGGCATAGAGTCAGATTGGGTTGTGATGAAGGGCCTCCCTCCAGGTCTTTGCCCAGGCTGGCCTCCCTCCTGCTGCCTTTGGAGGGGGAGCTTCAGCCTGGGTGTGATTCTTGGGCCATTTTCCTCAAGATCCTCCTTCCCCTGCTGCGTCTCAGGAACAAAGCACTCACTGTGCACTGGGCCCTCCTCATGTCACTGCTGGGTCTTGTGGAAGAATCATGGTGATCATAGTGAGGACAATGGCTGCCTCTGACATGGGGCAGGGACTGCCCAAAGCCCACTGCATTCTCCTCTTTCATCTAAACCTCACAGCTCCCTTTCCACATGAACTGGCAACTCAAGAGCCCAAACAACCTTCTCTGACCACCCAGGTCAGTCTAGAGCAATCACAGAGAGTCACAGCCACATTCTGCCCCACTGTGGCCTGACTGGGGACTCACCTACACTTCTTCACTTGCTCACTGTCCTGCACCCTCTGGCCAGATCACACTGACTCATGTCCATTTGCCTCTTTCAGGAAGCCCTCACTGACCACAGCAGTTCACACAAATCACAACACTGCACAGTTCCTGTGGTATCTTGTGGCCTCTATCCACAAGTCTCTCCCTTTCAGTGGCCTCTCTGTGTGCATCACACTGTGTGTTGCTCTCTGGCTGAAGTCATCCCTGATGACTGTCTCTGTTCTCTGTCACCCTGTCTCTCCCAAGACACTGGCTCAGGCCCCCAGGCCTCTTCTGGCCACGTCCTGTGATCCTGGCATGCACAGCCACAACTGCCTGGTGCTGGCAGCCACTAACTTGGATTCAAACCCTACCTCTGCCACTTGGTGGCTATGTGGCCTTGGAAAGACCATTTCCACAGAGATAGTTGACAGCAACCTTGTTGACTTGTTCACTGTGTGGTTTGGTGGCACCAGCATGTAGGGCAGTGAGTTATGGGTACCTTTAGTGTTCACTGTTACTTGGTCCCTGGCATGTGACTGAGCCTGGCACGGAGACTGCAGGAGGCACTGTGCCTGGCACAGTGATGAGAGATGGGTGGGAGCAGCTACAGTCCCACAGGAAAGCAAATGGACCAAAGGTGTGGCCAGAGCAGTTCAAGATAGTGCTGGTCTGAGATGCCCATGGCACAACCAAGGGAGTGTGGGGCTATATGTGTGGCCTTGCTCTCCCTTCAGCTTGGGCACGGTCTATCTGGGGTGAGGACAGGCATGGTTTTACAGTGACCAGCCATGAAGCCCCCATTCCCTTAAGCATGCACCCTAAGCTCTGGGGCTGGTGTGGCACAGTCCCCCATAAAGAACAGCCTGGCTAGGCATGCCCTGAGGGGACTCAAAGATGGCCCAACTGCTATCATGGTTCTGGTTTCTCCTTATGGCAATTATGGGATCCTATCAGGTGCTCAGTGCTGTCAGCCAGCCCATCACCTTTGGGAGTCAGAATGGGACTCTGATCTCCGAGGATCCCACTGTCGCATTGTCCTGGACCTGGCCTAGGACACACCCACTGCCCCATTGTTTAGATGTGCTTTAAGCACATTTATGGCTCAGGGCTGAGGAACCCCCAACTGAGACCTATCAGGTGCATTATCCGTGTTATCCACAGGAGCACAGACTTTGTGTCTGTTTTGTGATATCTGGCTACAGCTCCCTGTGCCCGAGAGTAGATGTGTGTGTATGCGTGGGGATTCAGGGGTGGTGAATTAATGTGAAAGACCCACTGCAGCCCACGTGTGTACCTCTGGATCTGCTCTTCGGTGTGGGCTTTTGTTTCCCTGGAAAGGTTTTTGTGAGGTGCATTTGTACATGTGTCTATGCTCCTTGTGTGATCATTTGTATAACTAGGCATGTGTGTGAGCATACATGTGTGTGCATGCATGATCTGTGTATGCTCAGAGGTGTGGGTGCCCCTACCCCATGCAGGTTGCTTGTGAAGCTACCTGAGCAACTCTGTGTACTCCCTGTACTTGGATTCAGGTCCATGAGTCTGTGCACCTCTGAAAAACAGGTGCCAGCTCAGTGTGTGTGCTGTGCCTCATCTGTGCCTGCTGAGGCCACTTCCTCTGTGGGCTCTGCACATACCCTGAGGGGAATCAGGAACACCCATCACTGGGTCTGACAAGCAAGGGTGCCTTTCCCATGTAGGCACCCACTCCTCAACTGCTCATGGTGCATGTTTACACTGGGCTTCCCTGTGGGACTCACCAGCCCCAGGAGATCCTTGACCTTGCAGGGTAGGTCCAGGGCCTCATGTCTCTTGTCTTTGTCTCCTTGACCCCTACTTCTCTGGGATTGCTTTCTCCCAGGGTTTTCTTGAATGAGTGCACATACTTTATGAATCCAGGAGCCCTTGCAAGACTATATCTCGGGTTTGGGTTAAGGATGGCAACTCTGCCTTTGTTCAGAATCTGTTCACTCTCTGAGGTGCCCCTTCTTACCGGCCCTCTGCATGAACAGAGTCCACTAGTGACAGGAATCATCCCTTCCCAGAGTCCTCCCCAAGTGTACAGCATCTCTAGGTGCCCTATACCTTCCTCTTTGACAAATGCTTTTCTCACTATGGTCTAGGGTCACTATGGGCCCCTAAGCTTCACTCCCCACACCAACAACTTTGATTGGGTGAGACTCAGCTCTGATTCTTTCTCCAAAGGACCAGGCCAGCACATACAGACTCAGGGAAGTTGCTCAATGTCCTTCTGCTCAGGGTTTTGCAGAGCTCTGCCTTTAAGGCCTGGGCATAACCAACTGGAACTAGGGAGAGCTCTCTGAGATTCAAACAAAAAGCCAGAGGGAACACATGCAATTCACACCTGAGAGCAAGACCAGAGCTTCCAAATTTAACACATGTATACATTTTCACGATGGGTGTAAATAATGTAGGATTAGACACTGAGGCAGAAATATGATATTTCTACCTTTGGATTTACCATTTGTACCTCTCCAACTTTTACTTGCCACTTAACACAGTCTAGGTGCCTTAGCATGAATTACCTCACTTAGCACATAGATATCACATTCTGCAGATGGGGAAACAGGTACAGAGGGATCAGGTAACTATTTTAATGCCATGAAGCCAGTAAGTGATGGAGCAGGACTGAGATCTAGGAAGGCTGGCTCCCAAGGCCCATATTTTCTTTTCTTTTTACTGGAATGAGATATTTCTTATCTTGTCCCAAGGAATGTAAGTGGAAGATCCTAGTCTCAGGACAGCAAAAGTTTTTGCCCAAGGATTGAATCAGGGAGAGGAGACTGAATGGCTACATGGGGAAAGACTCAGAAGGCTGCCTGCACATCCACCTCACTTACCATGCACAGGCCTAAGGGCAGGACAGCAGGAAGCTAGGCAGCTGGGCTTCAGCTCACTGATAGTGGGCCAGCTGAGGCCACAAGAACTGCCATGGGGGATAGCACTTGTGACACTATTTTCTTTGTAAAATTTTTTTTGAAAATTATTTATTTATTTATTTATTTATTAGGTGCAGGGTCTTGCTATGCAGCTCAGACCCAGTGATCCTCCTGTCTAAGCCTCCCTACTGCTGGGATTACAGGCATGAGCCACCATGCCCAGTTTCAGTTGCCAGCACAGTGGGCCCAGGTGCCCAGGGACAACACAGCATGTGGTACTGAGGCTTGAACCTGGGTCCTTGTACTTGCCAGGCAGGTGTTTAGATTGCTGAGCTATCTCCCCAGCCTGTAAGGTCCCCACTCCTAAGCAATGACTGTGGACAGGTGCTGTGTTAGTGCT